GATACCAAAATCTTCAGTTTTAGTTGTTCGAATATTGTTCTGTTTGATTTTGCTTCAAAAAATAATTCAGCCAGATAGGCCTGTACTGCTGAATCTAGGTTTGTTGCCACAACTGACTACTTCCTAGACCGGTCCGAACAAAATGCACTTCAACGTGTTCCGCAGCTAAATGCAGCTGATAAAGTACGAGCCCTGGTACGCTTTTTACGGTATAAGCTCTCAACACGCCCAAACCACAGTCTATTTGAATCGTTTGTCTCAAGTAAGCAAAGCTGTTCGTGAGCTGTATAGCCAATCCTCAGGTCTCATGTCAAACTGAGTTTTTCAATTTTGACAGTTTTAAAACGAACAAAACATTTGAGAACGAATAACTAGACAAGCATCATTTTTGTGTCAGCTGCAGACTCAGAACTAAAAGCTGTAAATGCCAACCGTCTGCTTTTTTTAGGAAAAAGTTATTTGTTTTGATGTGATATGGTATCTTAGGCTGTATAGAAGGAAAAGAGCAGAAGTGCATGCTTTCACAAAGCTATATGATACTTTTTCAATTACTAACATAGCATCGGCTATGGAAGTGATGCTTTTCAGTTTTGCCGTGTTGCCGGCAAGTTATACTAGTTTCCGATGAAATATTACAGTTTTATAACCAGCCCAGTATTTTTGCATAGTGTGCATCAGGCAAAAATACCGAGCTGGTTATGAAGCAAGAATGCGAGACAATAGATAGACAAAATGGATTACTGAATCTTGCCCGCGTAATACTAAAAGAATACGGCGGAAGTCGTTAATGAAGCGGAAGGATCCATCCAAGACAAAATAAGGAAGTGCGTGGATGAGGGATGTGCAAAATAAGAACAGACGAAGAAGTTACCAACTGCAAGGAATGTAACGATGGAACTGTAACTAATGGAAGTACTATCGAAGGGCAACGAAATCACAAAGTAGTCAGTCCGATAACAAAGGTGTTCATGAAGGCAAGAAAAGTGACATTTTAAGCAAACTTAATGGCGCACTGTCAAAAATTTTCAAAAACCAGCCACTGTTTTAATAATACTAGGCATCCACGTAACGGTTTCACCATTAACGCTGAGGTAAAA